GACTTCTCAGGGGTGCGACATAGCAGGAGATTGACTGTACTCTACTGTGGTTTGACACACGCTATCTAATATGACCTTGTTTTTTGTTGATCATCAGAGATCGGTTTGGTTGCTCCTATCCGTGCTGCATTGGGCTGCCCATTCTGTGTAGTGCATAATCGTGACAGATTTGGCAATTGGAACCATCCCACAGCACATAAATTTCGAAACCGTAAACTCGTTCAAGTCTTCTTTCCAGCACCAGTGAAAAGTTTGAATCCGTGATAAAAGAGAACTGAGAGTCTTCTCAGAACCATATGGTATAGTGTTGACTTTATCCAACAAGTCACGTGATTAGTTCATCGACCGCTAACACACAACTCATCTCAATTATCGTGAAAAATGAAGCGTCGCTCAAAACGGGTATTGTGTGGTGGCATGAAGTGCACCATCAGGTGCCATGAAAAGCAACAACCAGAGGAGGATATTACCACTCACATCAATTGCCGAACTGACATATTAAGGAGGCAGCCGAGTATCTTTCACAAGATGATAACAGCTGTCTACGCTAGGTTGACAGTGGTAACAAACGCCTTCCATGCGATGGGTCCAGAGTTCAAATCCCGAACGGGACGGTAAGTATGCACTATTGATGAGCTCTAATAAGAGTGAAAATCGAGTCTAGTGCTTTCTAGTGTATGGTTGATTGGTAGAGTTGAGGAATGTGCGTGAAGGTGAAGTCCGAGGATGGTTAGTTCTAATCTATCAATATCAACCATTCCACAACACTAATAACAATCAGCTGTGAGTTAAATGCGAATACTTAAGGAACGATGGTTATGATAGTCTTTCTATTCTCCGAACAGTTAAGTGCGACAATCGTTCGATTTTCAAACCACGCAACTTGAATTAGTCATTAACCAGACAACCGACTGCCACGCAATGCATACTCCGACCGACAGGACAAGATGAAAAGAGCAATCGGGGAGTATTTAGTGTCAAATGAATCAGATGTATATTGAAAACGTTACTGATGATCAAACCTATTCGGAATAATCGCTGCATGAACGAACATCAAGCGTGGAAACAAGATACGGTTGTAATATGGAATCTGAAGGAGACCGTTGATCATTCACGGAACTGAAAGGCGAGTCATCGCCATTTACACGGGATTGTTACTCCCGGTGCATCTGCCGAGAATCTGTTCTCGAAAAAAAGTGACAATCCCGGTCCTCATCCGCAGCAAGGTTGTTAGTGAAGCTAATCACAATATTCGGTATGGAGATCAATATCAACGTTAGAAATATTCCGGCGGCGGGTGATACTCGATCCTTGAATTAAGACAATTAACTAGTGAGTGAGTCTTCCTTTAAGCTAAGGTCCATGTATCACCATTAAAAGTGAGGGGAACTTGAAAGATCATTCTTGGCACCGATTAATCTATATATATATATTGCATGTACATCTGGAAGGGCTGATGATGTCACACGCACTGTGAGAGTAGCTCAGACTATTTAGATGACAGTATTTTGTCTTCTAACAGTTCCTTGGAAAGGGACGATAATAAGTAATGTAAGGTTAACATTCAATGTATTACCAAATTGAATGGAGAGACATACTAGTGCCGATGCACATTTCATAGCCACAACTCAGATAAATCCCAATGAGTTCAAATAAATCCGTGGATCGTTTTCATATCTTGACACTAGGTCATGAATATATTGTCCCCCATCCCCACACCCACGCCTCTTTTCTCCCCATCCTTCAGCTACCTCCTCACTTCAACACATATCTAGCGCCAAAACATCGCGTGACTCACACTGAAATAATTGAAAATCTGTGAAAAACAAGAATCTCCACCACCGGTTGTCTTCATGGCTTCCAAAATTGTAAGTGTCTCTTTTTTTACCTCATGATGGCGAGTTTATACATTCAGTGCTCACGTTCAACTATCGACTGCTACAGATGTCACAACTCCGAGACTATGGGATTGACTCAGTTTTCACAACAATTAACCATGCACTTTCGTGTGCCGGTTTTCGCTGCAATCCTTTGGTTTCCCATTTGGATAAAAGAGCA